CACGAGCCCATGTCCCCTGCATTGGCAGGCGGACTCTCAACCACTGCGCCACCAGGGAAGCCCAAGAGGGTTTTTTTTTAATACAGTACTTTTAGTCAAAATAAAAATTCATTGTCTGAAATTTTCTATATATGTAAAATAGCATCAGTTATCCCAACTTTATTATTTTGTTTTAAAACTGCATGTCTGGGCTTCCCTGGTGGCGCAGTGCTTGAGAGTCCGCCTGCCGATGCAGGAGACGCGGGGTCGTGCCCCGTTTCGGGAGGGTCCCACATGCCGCGGAGCGGCCGGGCCCGTGAGCCATGGCCGCTGAGCCTGCGCATCCGGAGCCTGTGCTCCGCAACGGGAGAGGCCACAACAGTGAGAGGCCCGCATAACACCAGAAAAAAAAAAAAAAAAAAAAAAAAAACTGCATGTCTTTGGTTCATGACTGGCTAGAGTTTCAGGAACCAGAGTCACATCTAGACATTTCTTTGCTAAAAATTACAGGATTTCAAAAATACCCAGAACCAGTAATAACCATCATATAAAATAATTCCAGGAGAAATACAAAAATAATATGCTATTTACTGGCTATGTCATGTCATGTTATTTTGTGGTTTTGGCTTCAAATTGCAAGTTCATGCACACAGACCTACCTCCAAAGCACCTGACAAATTTAGACTCCTCAGTTAAACAATCTATTGCATTGAAAAAAATCCAGAAATTGGGTTAAACTGATGTTATAGAATTATTGGTAGAATTAAGAAAAATCTGATAGTCATGATATAAGCTTAAATTTGTTTTTAATTTCAGATAATTAATTCCATTCTTTAACCAAGAGGTATTCCCTTACACTTTATCAGTTACATTTCACCTTGTTCTCATTTCTAATGTGGAACTATACTTAGGCATGCAAATTAAAGTGAAAATTTCACAATCATCTGGTGTATTTGGCCTGTGTGGAAACCTAATCTAAAAAAGAGGAAAAAAGAAAAATCAGATTTTTTTTATCTTAAAGCACATTTCAGGCTAGTCTGAAGTAATGCACTTGCCTGCTCCATCTTCTAACCTCTCTTCTTTACTTTGTCTTGCAAAAATTATTCGAAGTTTTCCTTTTATTCTGAGTTGCAATGCTATTGCATGGCTGCTAAATTTAGCACCTTATGCACATTTAACTGTAATGGGATTTATCTCCTTGTTAATAATGACAGTTAGTTAATATGGTTTATAATTGAAACTGTGGCTTCCCTTGAGTTTTTCCTCCCCCTCAAAATTATCTTTATAATACTATTTTTACAGTATAAGTTTTTCTCTTTGATCAGAGTTTGTCATTCAGCCTTTGAGCTGAAGATGTCCACATAATCAAACCAATTTGAATTAACTTGTCAAGTTTGACTGATAGGACACACTGTAGGAAATAACTTGCTATAGCCTAGATTTAATTATCTGCACTTCTATTTCTCATATGCATTTCATATTATACTTTTATTCCAACAGGGGCTCTTATCTTGGGCTACCATGTTTAGACACATTTATCAAGTATTCTTTATAGATTTGTTCATTGACCCCTGTTCTTTCATCAGATACCCTCCAGAGCCTTACACAGGTCTTGAATGCTGAATTGATTTGAAATGATTATGTATATTGAGCTGAGGAGTGAGGGGCTAGGGTTATTTGAATTTTGACCTCTCAGACTTGAAAAATGTAAGCGCTTTGTGATTTTCATGTAAGAAGGAACCAATGAATGTAAATGATGGGGAAATACTTCTGTTTGAGGAGGAAGCCTCTAACAGACCCACTAGCTGGCCTCCCATCACTGAGATCACTGAGAGTATTCTAAAAGATGTTTGGCTGACACCAGCCTCATCTGTAAAATGGGAACAATAACAGCTTTGTTTGTCATGTAAGAAGGGATCCTTGCAGAATGTGGGAGGTTGCATGAGGTTTGCTGGGACTTTCCTAGTTTTAAAACTGAAAGTCCTGTGTCCTGGGAACCCCCTCAGTCACAGCTGGGCTAAATGACCTCTGAGTTTTCTTTGAAGTCATAAGATTCTAA